AATAACACATTTTATTTATAACGCACTTTACATTTGAACGAAAATCTCAAAGTGCTACAATTTCAATAAAACCATAAAAACAACAGCAATAGTCAAAGGTCAAATCAGAGTTAAGAACCTGAGCATAACACAAGACCTAAAGCAGTGGATTAAGGGAAAAGGTTTTTAGGAGAAGGCTCTTTTAAAGAAGAGAGTTTTTTAACTCTCCCCTGTGGGGCTGTGGAGTCAGGAAGAGAGGTCCATAGCCTTGGGGCAGCAGAGGAGAAGGCTCTGTCCCCCATGGAGCAGAGCTTAGTCCTGGGGGGTTTGGAGGCAGATCGAAGGTGTCTTGTGCGGGTTAGTGGGGTGAGCAGTTCTTTGAGGTATGGGGGGGGGCATTTCCGTGCATGCATTGATGGGTGAGTAGTGTGAATTTTATATTCGATCCTGAGTGAGACGGGAAGCCAGTGTGTAAGTGTGTAAAGATAAAGATAAAGATAAACTTTATTGATCCCCAGTGGGGGAAATTTGTGCATTACAGCAGCTCCAGAAAACAGGGGACGGGAATATACTTATTAAAAATAAAAATAGAAGTTAAAAACAGATCAAACATATTTACATCATTTCAATAAAAAATAAAAAATAAAAATACAATAATGTAAAATGACACAGTAACTTGTTCTTAAAAAAACACACACAGTGTGTAGCATGAGGTGGTGATGTTGTTAAAGAGTCTGATTAAACAGTCTGATTAAACAGTCTGACGGCAGATGGGATGAACGACCTGCGGTAGCGCTCTGTCTTGCAGGGTGGGTGTCTGAGTCTGCTGCTGAAGGAGCTGCTCAGGGCCCCCACAGTGTCATGCAGGGGGTGAGAGGGGTTGTCCATGATGGATGTCAGCTTCACTAACATCCTCCTCTCACCCACCTCCTCTACAGAGTCCAGAGAACAGTCCAAGACAGAACTGGCCCTCCTGACCAGTCTGTTCAGTCTCTTCCTGTCTCTCTCTGTGCTCCCTCCTCCCCAGCAGACCACTGCATAGAAAAGTGCAGACACAACCACAGTGTCATAAAATGTCCGTAGCAGAGTCCTGCACACTCCAAAGGACCTCAGTCGCCTCAGCAGGTGAAGTCGACATTGGCCCTTCTTGTACAGGACGTCGGTGTTGTGTGACCAGTCCAGTTTGTTGTTGAGGTGAACACCCAGGTATTTGTACGTCTCCACCCTCTCTATGTCCAAGCCCTGGATGTTCACCGGTGGTGTAAAATGTCCAGTTAGAAACATTAGCACCAGCACTGTTTTGGTTACGTCTGACATCACACTAATCTCATGGAAAAACACTATTCAAACAAACATTCACAGGACAGCACATAAGAACACATAAAAACACACTAAAGCATCACATGATTCAATGAGGGATTTCAGCAAGTTAAATAAAGTGCAGAGTGCTGAGTTCGTCCTGTATAATCAGCTCTTATTAAGCAGCTGAATACGGCGCGGTACAAAGGATGTAATGCCTCTTTTAGTCCTCATCCTGGGTGTTCTGTACCTGTGCCCTGAATTCAAGAGTTCATACTCTGACCAAAGGGGGTGCAGAGGGTCAGCTGTGATCTTGATTTTGGGTACGAAAGGTCAAAACGTGCAGAAAAAAAACCTTTTTTTTTCACAAATGCGAAAAGGTCTGCTTTTGCTGTTTTTTTTAGTTGTCCAGATATGGTCGGACTGAGGCTGAAAGTCTTTAAGCTCCAAATAGTTTCAACAGAAGAAGACAATCTTAAAGAGTTTTTACTTGCTTTTGTCAGCAGCTTTTACTTTCTTTTTTTTTTTCGTTGTGTTGCAAACTGAGAAAACGATCGCTGAAGGGACATGAATCCTACTTATCAGCAACCTCTATTTCGGACTTGCATTGGTGCACTTTAATGAGTTTCCTATGCAGATCTATCGACGCCTGGCTCGTGCTCTCTTCTGTGTGGTGTTACTGCGCCTGATGTGTGTGTGTGGTGTGAATGTGTGTTGCAGGAGTTGGAGGCTGAATCCAGGTTCTCAGAGGCAGAGTACCACTTCATGGAGGCCGACGAGTGGAAATCTGCCATCAATATGTACAGAGTCAACGATATGTGGGAGGAGGCGTACAGGGTAGATACGGTCTTGTTTGTTCTGCTAAATCACAAGTTTGAACTCTGAATGTATGACCTGTTATTGTTCATTTAAGAGTTTCAAATCTCATCCCACATAACGAATATTAACAGTAATGTTTTTTTTTTTTTTAAAAAGCCTTGAAAGTTGGAAAACTCATAATTGTTTTTTTTTTATCAAAGCTGAAGATGTGAGACCTTTCTCAAAAATGCTGAATGTTCTGAATCTTCAGCTTCCTCCATACGGTCAATCATGCAACAGCAGCCTTTAGTTTAAACGCACAGTGCAGTATGTAAATTCCGCCACCAGGGGGCTCTCAATCAAAAATATAACATTAGATGACGTCGAGGCTGGCGGGGAATCATGGGAGTGATTCTCTTTGCTACTCCTCCCCCACCCCCAATGAAAACGAAGCACATACAGCAACTGGACGCCAGCTTTCAGTAGCAGCTCCCGCTCCTAATGCAGCGGTTTTTGACGTAACATCCAGTGTTTCCATGGCAACGATAAACATGTGGTGTCTGGCATGGCGGCCGCTAGAAAGACACGTCCCATTACAACTATGAAATTCAGAATTTCTCCGGCTTTCATAACTGTTGGAAATATTTGATGTAATGTAAGAACTCAACAATATAATATACATAATATAGGTTAAGTGAATTTTTAATTAATTTTGATATATTAGTAAAACAATTTGACATATATAATCTTTAAATGACATCTCTGCGTTGTATTTGTTCGCTGCCTCCTGGTGTCTCACAGCAGACACTCGATGATTACACAGGAACAGGTGGATTGTTTTTTAATCACTTGAGAATCACGCCAGGCTGTCGATTTTATGATGACAACTGGCTCGCTAACACAGACAGCATATATAAAAATCAGCTTTGGAGAGGAGCCAGGCGGAGGAAGGCGTGCAGCTGGTAGACTAAACAATTAACATTGATTGCTTCCATGTAAAGGAATCCTATGCACCTATAGTAACAATGTAATTCTCAAGAAACTTTAAAGGTGCAAGATTTAGAATTTTACGACAATGTTTACATTCAAATATATAAATGAATTAAAAATTGACTTAACCTGTGATATATATTTTTTCTTGTTGAGTACTTACATTACCTCAAATATTTCCAACAATTATCAAAGCCGGAGAAATCTGTAATTTTATAGTTGTAACTGGACAGCATGTTTGTCGTTGCCATGGAAACACTGGATGTTAGGTCAAAGAGCGCTACATAAGAAAGCGTGAGCTGCTACTGGAAGCTGCCGTCCTGTTGCTGTATGTGCTGCTGGGATAAAAAAAAAAACGTCATGTTAATTACCATATATTTGGACACATCATAGGTAAACATATTCTCTTCCTCAGGTCGGTTTACCCCGGTCGTCATGACTACGGTCAACACGGAGTTAGTTTTTAAACCGGGGGTGCAGGTGGAGTAGCAGAGAGAACTTCCATGATTTATAACATAAACTTCACAGACATGTTTGTGGGGAGCTCTGAGACTTAATTAAAGTGGTTGAAGAGGAGGAGGAGAAGATGTGACCTTTAAATGTTTTTATTGAATGCTTACTTAAAGGACGAGGAGTAAATGTTTAGAGTTTGTGAAGCTGCATAATGAGCGCTCTCCTGTCGTCTGGTTTTATTGCTGCTGTTGTGTTAAAGCTCAGTGCAGCTTTACAGCTTCTACAAAGTGTTTCTCTTCTCTGAGATTATCTGTGCTGAGGGGGTTAGAGACACGCTGCTGCACGTCTCCTATAGAGAAATGTAAACGTGTGTGTGTGTGTGTGTGTGTGTGTGTGTGTGTGTGTCAGGTGGCAAAGACCCATGGCAGTGATGCAGCCCAGAAGAAGGTGGCCTACATGTGGGCTCGCAGTCTGGGAGGAGAGGCGGCCGTCAAGCTTCTCAACAAGTTTGGCCTCATGGATTACGCCATCGAGGCGGCGTGCGTTAGCCTGTAAGCACCTCAACAACACACACTGCAACGCAAACTATTTGGGGTCCTTTTTATGGCTTTATTGTAGAGACAGGACAGTGGATAGAGTCGGAAATCAGAGAGAGAGAGAGAGTGACATCCGGGAAAGGTCACAGGTCAGCTTTGAACCCAGGCCGCCCGCTTGTAGGACTACAGCCTTCGTACATGGGGTGCGTGCACTAACCACTACACTACTAGCGCCTCATTTTTTATTCTCCTTTATTATGTGACCAGCTTAAAATCTTTAAGAGAGATTTTGGATTTACTTCAAAACTGTTTGAGCCCTTTTGTCTCTCATCTGGAAGTTTTAATCAGTTTATTAGCCGAGACGTTTCAGCCATTTAGCTTCCACAAAGGATTTTTTTATCTTCATAAGAATAATAATAATACTCTAAATTAAAGGCGCCTTTTAAAACACTCAAGGTCACCTTACAAAGCAGAGATAAAACAACAAAGTCAATACATTAAACATTAAAAAGACACATTTACAGTTCATGAGACAGGTTGGAAAAAGGGTCTGACTGTTTTGAGATGAGATTTAAAAATGGAGAGAGAGTCAGTGTTACAGATGTCTGGTAGGAGGGAGTTCCAGATGTTTATTCAGGATATCTGCAGCTGACATTAGTAAGTGTTTAGTCTGTCCTTCTACTTCATGAATATCCTGCAGTCAGTTTTGGTACAGTATGGTTAAACCCTTATATTACTTGTCTTTTATTTTTCTCCCCAGCTCATTTGACTTTGCCTTCGATTTGGCTCGTCTGTCATGTAAAGAAAAGATCCCAGAGATCCACCTGAAACATGCTCTCTACCTGGAGGATGAGGTAAATCCATACTGTCATCGTCATCACAAAGACACAAATCATACCTCTATGAATTATTTCATCTGAATAAAGCACAGAAGTTTGAATATATCCTGTGACTGTCTCATATCTCAGGGTAAGTTTCCTGAGGCCGAGGTCGAGTTCGTCAAAGCAGGAAAACCCAAAGAAGCCGTGTGCATGTGAGTACAGGACATGCTAACACGTGTAGCTTAGCTGAAACGGGTAGAAAGTGAGCATCTAGTTTATTTATCTGCTTCTCTCTGTTTGAATTGAACTCCTCTCTGAAGCTCCGGGTCTGTTAGATTTGGTTATATTTGAGGCGTGTGTGTTTGTTGGACCGCTCCAGGTACGTTCACAACAAAGACTGGGCCAGCGCGCAGCGGGTGGCCGAGGGACACGATCCAGAGAGCGTGGCCGAGGTTCTGGTCGGCCAAGCCAAGTTCTGCTTTGATCAGAAGGATTTCCAGAAGGCTGAGGCCTTCCTGCTCCGAGCCCAGAGACCTGAAATCGCTGTTCAATATTACAAGGTAAACTCTGAGAGCCAAACTGGCTTCAGGAACAGTTCGAGTTTGAACAACTTTACTTTAGTGAGATTTCATCTTAGCCTAAACTTGCTCCGCTCTATGACGTGCTGGTTTCCACTCATCTCTGTTTTTTGTTTTTGTTTATCAGGATGCAGAAATGTGGAGTGATGCCATGCGGATCTGTAAGGAGTATATCCCCAACAAGCTCTCTGTGCTACAAGAGGAGTACGAGAGGGAGACCTCCAAGAAGGGAATCAGGTGAGGAGATATAAGAAATCAAATTCTTAAAATCAGGGATGGGCAACTTTGGTTACAGCAAGGGCCACATTCATTTAATTCTCACTGCCAGGGGGCCAAGTTATAGGATACAAAAAAGATTACAGTAACATATACTAGTGATCTAATTTTATGATGGACACATTTCTGGTTTTCATGTTTTCATGGCTGATTTTGTCATGTTTTCTTCATTTTTCCAATTATCTTATTTTATTTATTTTTTTATTTTTTAATTGGTGACAAGGTGAACAAAATGAAACAAGAATATATAGACATGACAACTAAAGCGAGAACAAATAAACATAGACAAAAATAAAACAAATAAATAAAACGAACAAAATAGCAAAACATAAGCAAAGATACAGAGCAACAATACAGACAAATACATTTAAATGAGATGAAAGTCAAGCAATGATTTTTATGTTCAGGTAGTGTGTTAGAAAGGTGTGAAATGTGTTCGTGGCAGCGTAATGCATTAAAGTGCGGAACTTAGTGAGAAAACAAGCAAAAATATAAATAAATAAATGAAAAATTAGTTAGAGAAAAAAAATGTATATATGCATGTAAACATTAATGGAAAGAAGATAAAATGATATTAATGTGACCATCATAAGTAGAGAGGTGATGGTAATAAATATATATATATATATTAATATACATATACACAGACACACGTACATACATGTTCATGTTTCCAATTAATTGATATATAAAAATTGACCTGAGGGCCATGTTGAGGGTTGACTGGGGCCGCATGTGGCCCCTGGGCCGCCTGTTGCCCACCCCTGCTTTAAATAGTCCAGAGAGTCTTCAAATGCTGATTCAGTTCATGTTTTTTACTCTTGCAGCTGAAAAACTGTGAAAGCGTCCTTCGTACATGGAACAACAGATGCTAAAATCCTTGTGAATTTGCTTCATAATTGAAGATCAGATGTTTTCTATCAGTTTCCGCTGACTGTTTATGATCTCATGTGGTAAATTATCCCCATAAAAGGCCAAAGGGAATCAAAAAAAAATCTGTAAACATCCGACAACCTCTCCCTGTTCACCCTCCTGAATAATCCTCACACACACACAGAAAAACAGTTTGATGCTTTATTAAAACACAGCTCCAGTTTTTATCCCAAATTGAAACTACCAATGAGGAACAGCTCATTAGCAGGCAGAGCAGCATCTACATCTTCCTCCCTTCAAACGCTTTCTCCCTCTCTAATGACTCGTGGGAGAAGAAACATCAAAAGTTACCCACAGAGACAGACGAGGAAGTGAAAAAATACTGAATTATTCCCGCAGTTTGCGGCTCAGGCTCCAGAGGAGCACAAGACTTTCTATTTCCCACAACTGTCATCAACGTGAGTTTGGTTCTGGATGATTCCTTTTCATGAAATGCAGAAAAAGAAAACAGACAGAGAGACAGAAACAAATATCCTCCATGATTTTAAGAAAATGTAAATGTAGACATGATTCCTCCTCTTGCAGCTGTGTGCTGTTATGTGTTTAAAGACTGAAATCAATAATGACACCTCTGTACGACCTTCTAAAGGAAACAAGAGCATTTACTGATTTAATCTTCGCTGCAGGGGAGGCAAATATCAGCACGATGCCAAAACAGCCTCTTTTCTTTTTTTACCTTTCAAACGGTAAATATTTACAGTTATTGACGCGTTTGAATGTGAGCAAGAAAGCAGGAAGAGACATTTCATTAGAAAACTAAACCTAAAATAATCCTTATTGGACAATTTACTTGGATTGGCTGGATTCACAGTAGGGACCCAGGGCCCAGATCTGAGAATGCTTCACCCCAAAGTCCGGTTCATTTGATCAGTGTGAACACAAACAGATACCGTACTCGGTTACCGTGCCCCAGTCCTCTTGAAGAGGTGGTCTCGGGCACGATTCATGTCCAGTCGAGGACTGTTTGTGGGAGATGTGAACACAACCGTGCTCAAACAAGGAAGTGGACCGCTGTATGACGTAATTGTAACCGGTTCAAAAGCAGTTGTATCCACTCAGCACTGATCTGTTTCATCCTCTGAGCTGCTGTGAAAGTCGGAAACGCGTTGTTGCTGTCATCTCAGAAATGACAAAAACATCCACTGTTAGCAGGATGGACTCAGTCTGCGAGTGGTTGCCATGGTTGCGTCTTCTGTTTTCTACTTTTTGGGGGATTTACAAACAAAATATGTGCATACTTCCACCTGCTGGATCGGACGGTGAACATATTGCAAGTGTACTCAGGCACGGAACAATGTTACTAATGTGAACGCAGAGCAGCGGGGGAGGGGGGGGAGTAATCATGCTCGGGCACAGTACATAACAATCTTAACTAATGTGAAAACTCCCTTTATTAAAACTTTCTGGTTCAAATCTTTAGTCTAAGATTTTTTGTTGCTTTTGTTGCTGTCATTGAGGGTTTTAATGAACTTCCAAACTCCATGTGATCTGCAGAGTCCCTCTGCACCTTTAAGAAAAAGCTAAAGACCCAGCTCTTTCATGAATACCTACTAACTTAATGATGATGGTCTCCATATTATTGATGATGATGATGGTTGTGACAATGGTTTTTGTTTGATAACGACGACTTATAAGATGGTTTCTATACTGATTAGAGCTCTTAAGTGCTTTGCCTCTGGTCACTTCCTGTCAGCACCTGTGTGTCCAATCAGACTCAAAGCTGATCGTTTGCTCTTACTGACATTGTTCCCTTTTTTCTAGATCCTTGCTTATGTTGTTCTTACTCTCTGATGTACGTGACTTTGGATAAAAGAGTCTGCTAAGTGAATTGTAGAATTTTAAGTGTTTTGTTTCATATTTGACGTTTGATGCTGATTTAAAGAAATGAAACCGTCTGGTTTGTGCCTCCTCCTGTGACTCTTTGTTTTTGTGTTTTTTGTGTGTTTCAGGGGCGTGGAGGGTCTGCTGGAGCAGGCCAGGGAGTGGGAGCAGTCGGCTGAATACTCTCGGGCTGTGGAGTGTTACCTGAAGGTGAAGGACGACTCCAACACCAACTTGATGGAGAAGTGCTGGATGAAGGTAAAGAACGGTCCAAATAGAGCAGAGAGCGCTTTTATGACGGGGCAGCTGTGGCTCAGAGTGTGAATGCTTGATGATGACTACCTCGTGTGGATTTACTGTAATGTAATGATTTGGGAGTTTCTTTATTTATCTCTGCGTCATCACAATGTTTGTAGACATTTTTGTAATAGAAAATAGCACAGGGCACTAAAAGAAACAACATTCAGCCTCATAATGGATGATTAGATGTGATTGTAATAGAATAGACTTGTAATGGTAGTCAGTCTTTTCTTCCGCTGGCAGAGGTCAAAGTGTCACCAGCATGGATAGATTCACGTCCGGTGTTGAGCAGCAGATGTTCTGTGTTATTGATCGCAGCACTGTGCACATCAGATTGTTTGTGTCGCTAAAAGAAAGGTCACCAGGTCTCACAGATCAATACCTTTTTTTTTTTAAACCTTTTGTGAGTTTGATTAACCAGCGAGAGGAGAAGTGAATGTTTATTCCCCTGCTTGTGTTCAAATAACAGTGAAAGGGTCGAAATAATCAATCTGCCGCTTCCTGTAGAAAGCTCCAATACACACACGTTTCGATTTCCTTACAATTACCTGTTTTTTTTTTTTTTTAAAGAATCGATGGAGACGATTAGTAAAAAAAAGTGTGTGTGTGTGTGTGTGTGTGTGTGTGTGTGTGTGTGTGTGTGTGTGTGTGTGTGTGTGTGTGTGTGTGTGTGTGTGTGTGTGTGTGTGTGTGTGTGTGTGTGTGTGTGTGTGTGTGTGTGTGTGTGTGTGTGTGTGTGTGTGTGTGTGTGTGTGTGTGTGTTTCCAGGCTGCAGACTTGTCCATCAAGTTCCTCAGTAAAGATCGAGCGGTGGAGGTCGTCCTGGTGGTCGGACCGCGACTCACGCAGCTCAGGAAGTATAACGCTGTGAGTGAACACACACACACACACACACACACACACACACACACACACACACACACACACACACACACACACACTCATACACACCAAATAAGCCACATGCTGTCTTGAGCCCGACTGATGGGGCCAATATCGATATTAGGGAAAAACAAATAGCGCCCTCTGCTGGTGAAAGAGAACTGATAGTGTAATGCAGGGCTACTCAAATGAAATGCTTTTTTGCCTGGTGAATAAATCGAGTTATATCGGGGCATATCTGCAAAATTAGCCGATACCGGTTCTGTGCTAGTAGCGGTCGATAATATCGGATGGCTTATTAATCGATCAGGCTCCAATATTGTCCTTTTCTTTTAGGAGAAAGGAAACTTTAAAGTTGATGTGCATAAAATGTGTAAAATGTATTTGTTGTAAGTCCGAGTCCTGCATTCAAAGTGTCACGCACAAGAACCAGAGCAAACCATCAGTGAGTTTTCTTATTTATTTAATGTTCTTAATGTTCAAGGCTGCCGAGCTCTACTTAAACATGGATCTCATAAAGGAGGCCATCGACGTCTTTATTTCTGGCGAGGAGTGGAACAAAGCCAAGCGAGTCGCCAAGGAGCTGGAGCCCAGGTTTTACCACGCACACACACACACACACACACACACACACTTCTTTGCTCTGTATCTGAAGACTCTGATCTCTGTCAGGTACGAGGACTACGTGGACCAGAAGTACAAAGAACACCTCAAGAACCAAGGAAAAGTCGACTCTGTACGTACAATTACTCAAAAATAAAATATGAATCTAAATCTGTACATTTCAGCCTTCAAATGTGAGCGACCCTGAGCTCATTTTCCTGACGACTAACCCCCCAATCTCCACCTTATCTGTGCTAATAGAAGTTTTACGGTAGTGTACTGTAGGTGCAACATTCAACATGTTGTTAAATGATCAAATGATCAAAATGATCCATTGTTAAACAAAACATAAAAAACATAAAAAGTTCTGGTTAATTCTTGAATGGTCTCATGAAAGGTTTGTATGTTGTTGTTTATACATGTTTTTCGATGTGTGTGTCTGTGTGTTCAGCTGGTGGGTGTGGATGTGGTAGCAGCTCTGGACATGTACGCAGAGAGAGGCCAGTGGGAGAAATGTCTGGAAACAGCCTCCAAACAGGTACGCAGCACACATCCTCCTTACAGCCTCACTCTGTTATTTCATTAAAGATGGAAATGGTCATCAAGTCTGTGCTCACTGCTCTATGACTCATGTCAGTGCTTTTCTTCACCTCGGTTGTGTTTTTTTGTCAGAACTTTAAAATCCTCCATAAATACGTGGCTCTGTACGCCACACAACTCATCAAAGACGAAGACCCTCTGACGGCTCTGCAGCTCTACATCCAGCACGGAGCGCCACCAAACCCCCAGGTAAGCACGTCTTAGTCCTTACACTATTTATTACACATCTGTGACATCACTGTTTCAGGGTCGCTGTTCAGCAGTGGTCAAAAGGTTTTAAGAAATCTCTGCATTTCTTTTTCTTTAGTATTATTATATTATTTTTGTGTTGTTTTTTGTTTGTTTTTGTTTTGTGCTTGTCTTTTCTTTTTCCTCCCTGGTGTGGTATGTTTTGGTAATTTATGTGTGCATGTCTGTGTGTGTATATGTATGGGCGGGGCGGGGAGGGGGGGTATGTGACATGTTACCAAGAAAAAATTGGTCCTTAATGATTATTGTATCACGATACCTGTCACATGAATAAAGAGATACTCCAAAAAAGAAATATCTGCGCAGAGGCAGAAAAACTGTATTTATTTTATAGAGTTAAAATAAAAAGGTTAAATCTTGTTTGTCTCCATTTATGAAAAGGTCTCGCTCATTTTCACCTCATTTTAACTTCCAGAACTTTAATATCTACAAGCGTCTGTTCCTGGACGTCGTCAATCTTCCCGACACCGACACACCAGGGTGTTACCGCATGTGGGCCGATCTGCGCGACTTTCTGCAGCAGCTGGTAAATCACAACATTTCCCTTTTAACGTCAAGCGTTTAGCCTTTAAGCAAAGTGAGTGTTCTTTCTTAATAAAATGTTTGAGAAAAGATTTAAAAGATAAAAACAACAAAAAAACAGATTTCAGTAGCCCGTCTTGTTTTGATTTTTCTGAGATTCCGTTTCTGTGACGTCTCATCGTTTCAGTGTGAGAACGTGTCCCGGTCCGCAGAGGCCAACTCTCCGGCTCATGAAGACTTTGAACAGATGCTGCTGATCGCTCACTACTACTCCACGAGATCTGCCGCCAGGGGAGTCGAGCAGCTGGTACACAGAAACACAAAAAACACTCAAAAAAAGGACTGCTACCTTTAACTTTAAGAGAATACTGTAGCTAAATCTAAACACAGCTAAGAGCATGAAACACATGATGTAAAGCATCTCACCACCCAGTGGAGTTTAAAGACATTAAAGTGACTCAATGGCAACAGAAAAGTTGATATGCTTGTATTTTGTCTTTTTCAGAATAGATAGCTTGTCAAACTTCCTATCATCAGTCTGACTCTCTCTCCTTTTGGTCGCTGTGGTGACGGTATTGTTGTCGTGTGTTTTTTCAGATCAGTGTAGCGGCCAAGCTTTCGGTGTCTCTGCTGCGCCACACCGAGATCGTTCCTGCAGACAAAGCTTTCTACGAGGCCGGCCTGGCCTGCAGGGTCAGTACTTTACTTTTTTATTTCCTTTTGGATCGCTTGTACAAAATGTTCCTGCAGTTCTTCAGGTGTAGTTTGTTCCTCTCACCTGGTACCTGCAGAAGCAGAACAGAGAAATCATTGTGTGAGTGGGGGAAAAAAAAAAAAAAAGAGAACTTTCCTAACATGAATTTGCATTTCAAGTTTGCATAATAAACTCCAGGGTTTCCATGACTACAGGAAAGAGCCTATAGTGAAAGTGTGACACTCATATTTAGTTTTGAATGTCCAAGACTAAAAAGAAATATGTTCTGCATCTCACTGTGATTGATTTGCCTCTGAGAGACTTTTAACAGCAGATCAGACAGACCCTAATTGGGGAGGGCAAAACCGACAAAAAATCCGGCCTAAAAACTATCTCGTGTGGAGCCAGCCTTATACTCAAACCAGTGCAGGATTTGAACTATAAATGCTCTCTCTGTTTTTCAAACCTGACAGGCTGTCGGCTGGGAGAACATGGCCTTCATCTTCCTCAATCACTTCCTGGATCTCTGTGATGTGAGTAAACGTAAATTATTGTATTTACATGAATATAATAATAACATAATATAATCTATGTCTCAAATCTACACTATACTGCTTTAAATCCATGTTCTTTTTATTGTAATTCTGTCCTTACATCATGAAACTGTCTGAACGTGAACTAAGTTTTCTTATGAAGGACTTTTAATCATAAAGTTTGAGATTTTCACGAGTGTGTTTTGTGTTGTAAAAATTCCTAGAAACGATCTTAAACCTTCTTATTCGACCTGTTAGAATTCCTATTATCAAATGGGAGGATCTTTGTCGTATCTTTTCTTGATTGTTTGATGATTTCTGTCTCCAGGCGATTGACGAGGGGACGCTGGACGCTTTGGATCACTCTGACTTCATGGACACTGACATTCCCTTTGAGGTCCCCGTCCCCACCAAACTCTGCGTCACCGTAAGAAAAAAAAAGTCCCAACAAACACAGAACCACACTCACCTCTTTTAACATGTATATAAAACATTCTAAATCAGATGTAGTCGGGTTAGCATGTCATCCGTCTTTGATGGCGGGGGGGAGGGGGAGAGAATTAGAATAAATGGAGCTGCAGCAGGTCGGGCCAGGAACATTAAATTATTAAATTGAAGTGAGCCGGCCCATCAGCACTTTGGGAGGGGGGGCTGCTAATCATGCAAAGCTGCTCTTTAGGTGTCACAGGCCGACAACATGAACGGTGAACATGAGGACAATAAGGTGATCTTTATTCATGTGTGTGTGTGTCACAGGACGCCCAGCGGGAGGAGATCAGGGACTGGGTGCTGATGGTGTCCATGGACAACCGGCTGGAGCAGGTTCTCCCACGGGACGAGAGGAATTCGTACGAAGCCTCGCTGGTGGCCACTAACACGGGCCTCAGATCTCTGCCCTGTGTGCTCACCGGTAACTAACACACACACACACACACACACACACACACACACACACACACACACACACACACACACACACTATGGTCCAATGAAACTGTATGTATTTAAGCAATATCTTTTCTTACCAGCAGTGAGTTTCAGTTCTTTAAAATTCTAAATAAAAAACATTTTCATGACTGATGTCTGTACATGGTTCAAGAACAAAATGGTTTCCCTAAACGTCTTATATAAAAGAACACGTCAGCAGCATTAGAACTTAGAGACTATATCATGTGACTGTGCGGTGTTGATGCCTGCAGGTTACCCCGTGCTGAGGAATAAGGTCGAGTTCTCGCCTGTGGGGAAAGCCGCCAACAAGGACGACTGGAATAAATTCCTCATGGGCACAAAGGTGAGAACAGAGAGAGAGAGAGAGAGAGAGAGAGAGAGAGAGAGAGAGGCAGGTGAGTCTCTGCGCTCGCCGAGACTTCACGCTCACATTGTAAACACGAGATGAAAACACAGGATGGACAACAGATTTACTCAAGAACTTTACATTTAGAAAAAATTTGAGGAAGAAATGTGATTATCTTACTGTCATGTCAACTCCCTCATATTTTAAAGAGAGCTGTTGCCTCTGTGCATGGGGAGCGCGTCATAACCGCTAGGCTATACAGCCTGATTGTCTTCACCTGTGTCTGATTGGTTTCAGAGTTCGTCCCTCTTGTTGTCAGTTCATTCTACTTAACCCCCAGTGTTTCTAAAGTTTCCTCATGGCTCCTTGTCTTTTGATCTTTGTCTTTTTTTTGGGACTTTAGAGAAGCCTTTTTTAAAAAAATGAAGCATTGTTCTAGTTGTTCTGCAATTAGGTTAAGTACTTTGAATTATTCAACCTGACACGGTCATCGATGCATGGCACACTTGTCAACATGGCCGAAATGGACCGAGACCATTGTTGAACTGATACATTGGAGCATCCCAAGTTGTAAGTTTTGGTTTCTGTTGGCAACCACAGTAACTGTTTATCAATTGTGTCCTCATTTTCCTGCAGACCTCTCACAGTCCAGAGTGTCAGGACGTCCTGAAGTTTATCAACCAGTGGTGTGGGGGTCTGGGCGCGTCTGGATTCTCCTTCCAATGATAAGACACAAGATTTAGTTTTCCTCTTCCATGATTATAATCAATACCTCATGAGTGATGTCTTCTCTTCTCTGCTCTGTTACTCATCTGTCATTCACATTCAAATTATTCCAGCTGTGATAACAAAGTTTGAAATGAACCACCAGATGTTTGTTTGTTTTTCACAATTTATTTATTTATTAAGTCAACTCCTCATTGACGTTCGATTTTTGGTTTCAAAGTGTCATCTCATGGTGGTCAAAACATGTTTTAAAGTCTTGTCTGTTCGTTCAGTTATGTAACCCTTTTTAAAATACACGTATTCTTTATTTAACAAAGTCACACTTTCATTAAAAACCAAAAAAGAATCAGATTTATAATGAGCCTCATATTTCACTGCTGCACATAAACTCCTGATAAAGACATTAAACCCGTATGAAGTCGTTCAAACATTTCTCCAGAGACGACCTCATGACTGAGGTTCACTGCTGAAAGAAATTCAAAGTGATCTTTAAGACTTTTACGGAATCATTTCTGCTCCAGAAAATCCTGAGAGACAGATTTAAACGGACGGGTAAAAGTGACTCTTTAATAAACACGTTCTTGCCTTTGCTGTTTTTTTCAGAGTATCTAGTAAAGCCTTTATGGTGTGTTTGATATGAATGTATTTTGTTGAATATTTAAAAAATAAACATAGTTTTCCATCTTTTATTGTATTTTATTTATTGTTTTTACTCTTAAAATATACATATTTCAGGGATTAAGTGATATTTTTAGTCATTGTTTCTCAATATGGAACAAATAAGTGAAAATATTCTCATGTAAAAATCTTGTTATACTCCTTTTTCCATAAATCACAGATCAGGTTTGGTGTTGATCAAGTATATCACTGTATCATCAGCATAAAGGTGTCAATAAGCATTATGAACATTTTGAACAGACCTGCTGGTATATTTAATGACTAAAAATGGTCCCAGGAGTGATCCCTGTGGTACACCCTTAGGAACACTTCTGGAATTACAACAGATACCCTCTGCCTGCATGCACTGAGATGATACTTTCTAGTTATCCTAACAAACATGACACGGGAGTGTTTGTCTTCTTCCCTTCCATCTTTGCAGACAGACTTTACACAAGCTTTGGCTGCAGAACATTTAAAGATGTCACGGCAGATGGGACAGCAGAGCTTCTGTGATACTGAGGACATCTTCTCTCTCAGTAAAGCAAAAAAAGACTACCAAGTGTTTACAGTTTAATTCAGATTAATTCAAACAACTTCATTAATTCCTCGAGGGGTTATTGGTTTGGAGCTGATTGCACATAAAAGACACAAACAGCAATGTTAAAGGGGACATATTATGAAAAAATGTCCACTTTGACAGTGTTTTTGAACATATATTTGGGTAACCTGAGTGTCTACCGACCCACAAAATGTGAAATAAACAAATCCAGTCGTTTGTTTGTGGTCTGCATAAGTCTTACAACACAGAGAAAAGTGCTCTGTTTCAAATTTGCTCTCCTTGTGATGTCACAGTGGGATTCTGGTAAAAAATAAAATCCCCTCCCCTCCCCTGGTATCTCCACCCATGGACTCCACCCCAGCCTAAAACAAAACTTTTGCGTTTTGGTCTGCCATTTTTATTCTCACTACAGAGGAGTGATGTCTACGGGGAAAACTCAGGGGGCGGGCTCATTGCATTTAAAGAGACACACACACCAAAATGGAGCGTTCTGAGAGAGCTGGTTTCTACAGGGTCACAAACCTCCTCTGGTGCTTGATTCATGTTATATTTTGACCAAAGCACAGCACAGATGTTTCATTTAGACCACAGGGGACTGTTTGAAAAGTTGGGAAAGGGGGATAATATGTCCTCTTTAAGACAAAAATAAATTATACATTAGAGTTGGACCTATAAATGCAATCCAAAAATTGACCAAAGCATAAGAAGGATCAGTCTCAATGAAACATTAAGAAATATAAAACCTTAACAGTATTAAGTAATCTGAAAGCATAGGATGAACAGCTTTACATCGTGTCGTAGTCATCAGCACGTCAAAGTGTTTGTACTCCAGTTCCTCCTCTGAATAATATTGTGTGTTAGTGTAGGAGTCGCCTCTCAGTGGAAGTATAATAAAATCAGGTGAGTCAGAGTCAGGTGTAGTTTTTTTCCTCCTCTAAAAGCTCAGTGCTATTTAACAAGAGGTGTCTTTCTTTCCACTGTGTTAGCGTAAATTGTTTGGAAGGATATTGCCAATTTCCCTGAGGACCAGCCTGACTCATCCTGCCCTGTTATGATTCAGGATCCATTGGCAGAGACTTTCAAATTAAGAAAAAATAACTCCACCAGTTGTACGTGTGAAAGTGTTTTTTATTCTTGGGGTGTATTAATACTTAAATGCTGCATGTAACTCAGTAACCACTGATTCTATATCGCTGCTTTTAACTGGACTATCATAGGCTCTGTTTTCACACCCGTCCTTGGTGATCTGGTATCTCGAGGTGGGAATGCAAACCAGTAGACGAAGCCTGAGCGACGTCAACCATCTGTTCCTGCAGGGGGCGCTGGAGTCCGATCAATGGCAGTCCCCAAGCTGGAAATGCTGTCTCAGCCTAACTTTAAGTCAACTTAACGACGGGCTGAGAGCTGGAGCTGAGGCGGGTTTTAAGCCTCTTGATGAACCGTTGCACCGCGCCCACCTGTCAATAAGGTCAGCTACACGCCTTAATGTGAATAACGCTTATCCTCCATAAAATCTAAACGGATGAGTTATCAAAAAATGTACCTCCCGTACAGTGTGTCCCGATAAAGACATGAGCTAATCAGACTCATTCGGTTTTTGGACCAGGCTGTAAACATGTTAATTTCTGCTTTTTTGAACTGATGTGTATGTGACTTCTAGTGACTCTGCAGCACAGCCTCTAGTGGACACTTTATGAACTGCAAATACTGCACTTCCGCATCCGCTTAATTTTTCAACACCGGAGATTGCCGCTTGGACCAAACTGTTGGTGTATCAGTTGCACTGTGGGTAATGTAGGCAACTTGTTTTTTTTAAACAAATTTTCACATGATGTTCAACAGTTACTATGATATAAAACCTGACGTTACTAAGTGGGGTGGTTTGGGCATCTGATCAGGATGCCTCCTGGGCACGCCCAACTGGAAGGAGACCCCGGGGTAGACCCAGAGTTCGCTGGAATACATTGCTGGGGAGAGTGAAGACTGGGTCGACTTACTGCGCTTGTTGTCACCTGAGGATCTTTGTTTTTGTGTTTTTGTGTTTTTGTTTGTCCTTTTTTTCCTTAACAGCAAACAGCTACTATTAAGCAGCCTGAATGAATAAGTGGAGAACAAAGCCAGCGAGAAATGATCATGAATGGACTTAAATTGTATCAGATGGAATCAAACACTATCCTAAAAATGAATGATATCGTCGCTCAGTATGCTGAATGTGTAAATAAGCTGTTGTGTCCTAACTTCTGTTTCCTTAAAGTCTGCGTGCATCACATTAATAAGAAACATAATCCCACATTTAACCCCCAAAACATTTACTTATATGATATAGAAACATGTTTATTAAAGATGCCAAAGTGTTGCTTTATAACCCAGGGTTTTATGGAATTTATAAGTGTATTCATAAATTACCTAAATCTGTGTAACCCTTCACGTTATGTTAATATGTCGAATATCAAAAGATAAAAACAAACAAAGCATCCAGTAAAAAGACTAAAAGAAAGACAAGAGGAGGAGTCTGCGCTATATATGTCTTTATTCAACGATCTTAAAAAACACTTTCATACATAAACTCATGGACACAGTGTACATACTTATTACATTATGATATTAATCATTTATTTTCCCTCCGAAGTGAAAACATTATGACATCAGGGAAACAAAAACAGCACTACACAAGTTTAATTAAACATCCTCTTGCTCTTATTTTATTGGATTTAAGTGCACAAACGATGTAAAAATATCGACTTCAGTAATAAAATAAGTGATTTTATTTGTTCTTACTGCTCTTTGTTCATAAATATCACTATACTTTATATAAAACATGTAAAAATCCTCCAGGATGGATAGTTTCCCAACATGTCACAAGAGTTTCAACTCTGCATCCAAAGAATGATAATTTTTATGCGCTCAAAACCTTTAGATTTAGGCTCAGCTTCACTTTCTTAAATTATAAGTGTATGCACCGTTTGCACTTTGCAGCATCTAAACAAACGAACGTCTAACAAGAGTTTCTGCCTCCTGAATCCCCTTCTTGTCTTCTCACTGTCTCTGCACAAACTGTACGATCATTACAGCGTGCGGTACGTACAGTTACAGCTTCCTTTCCCAGCAGACGTTCTGTACATCCTCAATCGATAACAGAGCCTGTGTGTGTGTGTGTGTGTGTGTGTGTATATGTATGGGGGAAATGCATCAGTAAGTGCTCGGCTGCATGAACACTCACCTACACTGCTCTGCCTGGAATAGACAGATCAGTGAAGTCAGCCCCTTGATGTTGAGTCATCAAGACAGAAGTGATACATAATGGTGTTTTTTTATTAGTAAGGATGTTGTAAAGATGATTTAAGAAGCCTAAATGTATATTTTTTTAAAAGTTGTAAAGAAGCTAAGGTTCCTCTGGATCCTGTTTTTTAGTTTCTTATTCCACTCATTGGATCTTCCTGAGAGCACTTCCTGTCTTTCTCTGCTCTTTGAAACTGAAATAATTCAGTCTCATGTAAATGTACCATTTGGTAAATCATTAACTTGAGCAGACTGATGTGACCGTCTGCAGGCCGTCAGGCAATGAACTAAAAAGAAGAAGATATTTCCCACCATTTTTTTTTTTAAGGTTTATTTTTGGTGCTTTTAGATATTTTTTGCCTTTACTGTGTAGGATAGCTGAAGTAAGACAGGAAATGATGGGAGGCGAGAGTGGGAGGGATGACATGCAGCAAAGGGCTGAGGTCGGATTTGAACCCATAGCTGCTGCTGTGAGGACTACCGCCTCTGTACATGGGGCACACAGAATAACCACTAGGCTACCGGCACCTACGCTTCATTATTGTACAAAAAGTACATTAAGATCTTTACTCAAACTCTTCTCTCTCACTTTTTTCTACTTAATTCTTATTTTCTAATTTAGCTTTTTAACATTTTGTCCCTCCTGGGCTTCATCTTACATCAGATTCTCCAATAATTTAAGCCTCACACCGCAGATTTATGTTCTTTAGGTGTGTTTTCATGTGACTGTTTAGAGCCTCGAGCTGCTTTCACTTCATCTCAGCTCAATAAATCAAAAGATGCATAAGGAGATGTACGTGACAAGTGCGTCAGGCAGTCCTGCATTCCCAAAGATGATATATAAGAGAGGATTTTTTTTTTATGCTTAAGGAGGCCGAGCAGGCGGAGGGTGATGTAAGCGAGAGGCAACAGACGAGAAACACAAACAAAGATGACGATGATGGAGCGGAGAGATGAAAGCACTGTGAATGAAGCCTTTCAGAGCATGAGAGATACTTCTTCATTGTGCTATTTGTTAGTCTTTATTAAAAGTTGGGAAGGAGACACTTAACAGAGGACCAGATTTCAATCACTTAATGGTTAAAAAGCAGTCAAGTACTTTGTTGAATTTCAAACGGTACATAATGTTTTTTTCTTGCTCTGCCAAAGGATGTGATGTTTATTTTTACTATCAGGCAAAGAAGCAGCA